TTTGCATGAAGTATGTATACATATAGCGCACGACCACTGCTTTCTCCTGTAGAAATCATTTGACCGAGATTTACTTGCGGACGTTGCCTCTGAAGCGACTGCAGCAGTAGAAGCGGCAGTAGCAACAGCAGCAGCAGCAGCAACAGCACACTCTCCAGCAACTCCAGCCACGCCTATCATCATCGAAACCAATAGTGTTAGCAACTCTAGTCAACAACTATCAATCACCGGGGAAGAGAAGGAATCACTGATCAGCATCGAGCCTCCCACGCCCGAGATTAGCACTAGTCAACAACAGCAGGCGCCGGCTTTCAGCACCGAACAGCAGACACCAGCACCAGCACCAGAGCAGCTTCCCTCGAAAATTCCCATCCTCGATCGAGCCAACAAGAGCATCCTCAAGGAGCCCTCATCTCCCGAGCCTCATGTAAGTGTTTTAATGCTTTTTTGGAGTTTTCGTTAGGTAAAATGATTGTCTTTTTGCTTTGATCTTTTCACAGACCTACTCCACCAACCTCTCGCCCCTGCTGTTGAGCTCTCCTGCTGATGGCAGCGGCGGCAACGATGAGAACAGCGACGATGAGTCCTGCAGTACACCGTCGCCTATTCCGCTCCGGTCCTCCAGTCCTAGTCCCTTCAGCAAGAAACGGCCTCGTCGACATCGCAAAAAGAAATAAACTTGCCCTCCTTTTCTTTACTGTTCTTCACCGCTCGCTTTTCATTTTTGCTCGTTAGTGATCATGGTCATCTTTGCAGAGTTTATAGCAATCACAAGTTTCTTTCATCTTTGCATTATTCACTCATCATCAGTGTTTAGAGTTTTGGTTCAGCAATAATTTCAGGCGTAGTTTTAGTTGACGTAGTTGTTGTTGTTGTCATCAGTTGTTGTCCATCCTCATCACCACAATTAACACATCATCTAATAAGTCAGGCTCTAGAAGAGGCAGCAGACTTTGATCGTGATCGTGAACATCTTGCTGCAGTTAGAGCACACCAGCGCTAACACTTTCACTCTCCTTTGTGACATACACACACACCTCAAAGTTATATTAAAAAGTTCTACTGTACGCCTTTTTCCGCAAAGCTTCCTTAGCCGCCATTACTGGGCACCTCAAATTCAATATTGAATCTTTTCATCATTTGAGGTTTAAGAAGAGAGCCATTGTTTGCCTGATTCTCAAGGTCACTGTGTCAGCTTTGTTCATAAGTTGATGAGCTTGCTCTTGAACGATTTCGGAACGACTCTCTCACACTTTCTTTTTTTCTAATTCCCACTTTAATCCTTCTCCCCCTTCTTTCTTTCCACCGATTTGCCACGCCATCTTCTCTACACTTGTTTGCTGTCATCTCTGCCGACTTTGCATCTGCCGACTTTGTTCTACAGCACAGCACAGTCTTTGTTGTAGTGAATCCTCTTCTTCACACACACACTGGCGGTGAAAGTGTCCGCAATGAATGAACAAGCTCGGAGTGGAGTCAAAGTTGGCGGCCGACAGAAGCTTCCTCTGCCGTCACCGAGCAAGAATGAAAAAGAAGAGTGTTCTAGTCTCTACGAAAGAAAGAAGGGGAGCCAATTAGAGTGCCACAAGCAGTAATCAGCATCACCAGCAGAATAATCGTGTTTTGGTGGAGACTGACTCGCGCGGCTAATTATAACACACCAACGCAAGTGCAAGCGAATGCCAAGGGCTGCTTTTTGTTTCCTTTTTCTCCAACTTTCGTGAAGATCGGCCAAGTCGATAGTAGACAACTGTGTGGTGCACGGGTGCACCAGCGCCACTGATGCGACAAAAGAATGTCTCGACGCAGTAGTAGTCGTCGAAAGTGGAGTGAAGTGGAGTGCTCTACTCAGTGTCTCACTTCTATTCATCATAAAACTGTAGTGTGTGAGTGTTGATACCGTACGCCTGAATTTATGACTTTTCGCCTTGACTGACTGACTAAGTAACTGGCTTGGATGAAGGCTTCATTGTTGTGATTGCAGCTCAGAACTGCTACTTGTCCTTGGGTGATCGAAACGCATACACACCGAAGAGTGAACTTCAATGCACTTCTCTCTGTGACAAGTTCGGCAAAGTGCTCCAGTGATTTAATCGGCGCAATGATGTAAGAGCAGTGCTCCTTCCTCCACTGCTCAGCATTCTGTCCCTGAGCAGCAGCAGCACATTCTTCCAATGCAATCCATCGCCAGCAGTGGCAGTGCCATTTATTCACTACCACAAAGGACAAACACTTTGGGTTTCTTCAACTGTAGAAACACAGTGCCTGCTTGTGTGTGCAATATCTGTCTGTGCAATTACCACCAATCAGCCAAATCTGTCATCGGATGTTCTTTGAGAATGTGTGCTTCTGTGTAACTAACAACTTCTTCGGTGTTATCAACACTTTGACGCTTTATATCTTCTATTCCTTTTTTGCCTTTTTTCAACAACTTTCCACTTAACTCAATTTCATCTCAGTCATTCAACACTTAATCCCCCTTCTTGAGCTCCTTCAGCATGACACTGGAGCGGCGCAAGCTGAAGCGCTCCATTCCCTCGCTGCAGAACCTCGACCAGGACCTCTTCTACGACATCAAGCGCATCTTCGTCTTCGGCCGCGAGGGCGACGCCGGCTTCTTCATCACCAAGAATGACTACGTCTACGCCTACGGGAAGAACAGTTGCGGCATGCTGGGGCTGGGCATCTTTGAGCCGGTGCCGGAGAGCGACCCGCAGCAGGTGACGGCCCTCACCAGGCGGAAGATCACCGAGTTCGCCGCCGGGCGGTCGCACGTTCTGGCGCTGAGCAAGAGCGGACGTGTCTTCTCCTGTGGCTCGAATGAGTACGGTCAGGTATTTGAGTTTTGTTACTTAGAAAATGCAAAATAAAGTACTGACAATCTTTTCTCTTTTCCCTTTTCAGCTGGGCCTGCCCGAGTACGCCGAAGTGAGCGTACCCTTTGAGATTGAGTCGCTGCGAAAGGACAAGGTGGTGGCCATTGCCTGTGGCGCATTTCACTCGCTGGTACTCACCAGCAGAGGAATTCTCTACGGATTTGGGGTAAAGAGTTGGAAAAAGAATTGTTGACTGGATTTCCTTTACAATTTACACTTTTTTGTTGCAGTTCAACTTTTGGGGACAGCTGGGCGTTGGCGGTCGCAATGAGAACCATTTTGAGCCAGTGTGTATAGCCTCGCTCAGAAACGTGAACATCATCGAGATTGTCTGTGGGCAGCACCACTCAGTGGCACTCTCTAGAAAGGGTAAGTTGGGGGTCAGGGCGGCCAACGATAGATTTATTTTTCTCCAGAGAGAAATGACAACAAACACAGCTGACGCAGCTAGTACAGGCGACTGATACGACCCTGTCAGCCTGGCTTATGNGTCAAATTAAATCTTAAAATCCTCATTTCGATAGATCAAAAGTGTGACCTGCGGACAGAATCACGTGCTTGCAGTGAGCACCGATGGAGTTCTTCTAGGTACAAATAGAACCACCGCTTTCTGTTATTGATCGATTGTTTTTCCGTGCAGGCTTTGGCTCCAACTACTACGGCCAGCTGGGCGTCGGATCACGCCGGAACGAGGCCATTCCGGTGACCATCTGCGAGGACCGGAAGATCAAGGACGTTCTGAGCTCGCCCTTCAGCAACACCTCGCTGGCGCGGACCAAGAAGAAGCGCGACAGTCTGATCTTCGGCAAGTGCGGCGACCACTGGCTGCTGTCGCCGATGAGCAATCCCGATCCGGAGTCGGCGAAGAACAACAACAGCGAGGCCTTCATCAAGGTCAACCACATGACGGCCAAGTCGGCGGTGGTGAAGAGTCACAAGAATCGCTGGTGGTACATTCTCAACTTTGTCAAGAATAAGATTCTCTAGGCTGCACCGCTACTAACTGCTTTGTTGCTTTTCTCTGCCTCTCTCTCGCATTGCACATTTCCATTGCCATCATCAATACCTTTCATGCTTCATCATCAAGCCTGGACTACCACTGAACCTTTGCCTTTTGCAGCCAAACATATTTTTGTAAGTTGAACACAAAAGTGTAAAATAAAATACCAACAAAAGACGGTTGTAAAGTCTATTATTAGCAGTTGTGGTGGCGGTGGTGGAAAGGTGGCAAAATATGTCTTCTCTGTGCCCTCACTCTTTCAATAGTCGGGTGTGTGTGCTTGTGAATGGCAAAATTACCAGCACAAACGGAAATTGTAGCACGGCAGCACGGTGCAATTGACGTCACACCGGCAGAATCGAAGAAGAAGAAGAAGTGGCTCAGTCGATGTTTGTTTATTTACACTCTCCATCACTAATAATAGCGAAATTATAATTTTGCTGATTGACTCAATTTGCGGGTCGAACACTCTATTTCGGGGTATTAACAAGTTTGAACAATGCATTCATTGACATCATTGGCTATAGAAAAAAAATTGAATGTTATTGGAATGTTTAAATTATCACTGGCACTCACTTTAGAATATGCAAATTTTCCCAAGTTGGCGGGAGTTTATCTGCCCACTCATTAGTGTCCGTTTCCGACAATAAAATATCTAAAAACAAGAAAAATTATATCAGTCAAAATAAAGGACAAAACAGTTTACCACTTACCAAACAAATCACCGAAAAATTCCTCTTTTTAAGAGCATCTTTAAAAGTGGATACAACTGAAAACAAAATCCACTTTGAATCCACTCCAAAACAATACTGTGTCGAAGTGAAAATAGTCGAACTCCAAAAATCGAAATCACTTCTCAATTTTCTTCAAGGCCAGCGCCTGGCGCACGCAAATGATCATCAGCAGTGCCCTCCCGTTGATGACTCCTGGCTATTCCATCGATCGAAGAACCTCTGATTACCAGCGACCAGCTCCAATAATGTTCAAGAAGTAACCGGGATACTGCTGCTGGCAGTGGCTAATGCAACCTAGGTAACTTCGTTTCAAAGTAGGACACGATCACATGATCGGCCTTTGCCTTTGCCTTTGCAGCCGCCGCCGTTGCTGCAGTGAGCTTCGAAAGAGAAGAGAGAGAAAAGAGTGAACAAAACAAAGTGGCCACGATTTGTTGTGTTGCGGACAGTGCTGCGAAGTGAAGTGAAGCAACTTCTCATCGCATCAAACTGCTGCTGCGATTCTCGTCTGGTCGCACTTTCAATGTCGTCGCCTTGTGCTGTTTTTCTATTATCCCTTCATCCAAAGACAATGCCTGGCCACCTTCGTCGCCACTTTCACTTCAACTGCTGCTGAGCTACTGACTTTCGTTGCCCCGTCTTGGCCAACCACCACAACTTCAACTTCAACTGCACTATCTAAACTGGTAAGTGAAAGTGGCCGTCAAACTTTTACGGCTACATTTGCAATTCACCCCTGCGTAATACACACCTGTACTGCCACTGTGCTTGGCTCACTGCTGCTGCTGCTGTTGAGCTGCCTGTTCACCGTTTGCGATTATTTTGGCCAATCGCCCCAAGCAGAACGCACTTTCGCTTTCTTTCTCTTCGACTGCTGCTTTTGCTGCTGTTGTTGTTGTTGTCCTCCTGCCCTTTGAGAGAGAGAGAGAGAGCGCGGTGAGAGTCATCTTCTTCTTCGACAGTCACATCAATCGATCACCAATTTATTTATTATTATGATGGTGGCTCCTGACTCGTCTTACTGTGTTTCCTAACATTGTGGTAATAATTATAGTTCCCCTCCACCACCATTTTTAGTTGCTAATTTAATTTAATCAGCTAATCACCATCTGCCTTTTGTGTCACACTAATGCGCCCTTTGCTATTGAACTTGACTGACTCCTCCGCTGTTCTCTCGTTCCAGTTTAGTTCCAGTTTAGAACTGTGCATATCACCTTACCACTTTTTACTACTTCCAGCGAACATTGGTCCGATAATTATTACGATTGTTTCTAACTTGGGTTTTACACTCTTTTCTTCTTCTTCTCCCTTTCTCTCTTCTCTTTTCGCTTCACAGATTTTTACCCCACCTCCATCTCCTGCAGACGATCTTGAGGGTGCTTGACAGAGAGTAGTGCCTCAATCAGCCTGGAATGATGAGGATGATGATGATGATTAACACCGATAGTAATTACTTCTCTCAGAAGAAAAAGAAGACCGTCTGTTACAGCGTGTGCAAACGTGCTCTTATCAGTGGAGCATCTATCTTGTAAAAACACAAACTCGCGTCTCATCACGTATCTTCGAGTGCCCTCCAAAATTGTAGCTATCACCCCACTGTTGCTACTTTTGCTGCAGCACCACCTTCTTCTTCTCGCACAAATTCCCCTGAATGAAATTAATTAATTCACTCAATCAGCCTACCNTTCGAGTGCCCTCCAAAATTGTAACTATCACCTCACTGTTGCTACTTTTGCTGCAGCACCACCTTCTTCTTCTCGCACAAATTCCCCTGAATGAAATTAATTAATTCACTCAATCAGCCTACCTACCCTTCTACCTTCAAGAGCTGCCTGCTGCTCTAAATTGCCTCTTCTGCTTGAGCAGGAAGATCTGTTTGGATCCAAAAAAGNTGAAATTAATTAATTCACTCAATCAACCTACCCTTCCTTCTACTACCTTCAAGAGCTGCCTGCTGCTCTAAATTGCCTCTTCTGCTTGAGCAGGAAGATCTGTTTGGATCAAAAAAAGGAAAAAAAGGACTGATGAACTAGTACGTTCTAGTTCGAACATGAACTGCCCCCTCCCTCTGTTGAATTGTATCTGTCCACTTTGATCTCACCAGTTTGATTTGACTGATAAGCCTCACTGACACCTTCACCACCACCAATTCCCTCACCTCTATCACCCATTAAAGTGATAGTAGTACCCTGTTTCAGCGACTTATCAACCCATCATCATCATCATCATCATTGCATTCTACATGCACTTTCGGCGTGTTTCTATTTTTAGAAACTGTATCTCTCCTCTCAACAAAGACAGAAGAACTTTCTTTATCTGTGCTCTTGGAGAGGTAAGTGTTCTCTCTGTTGCATGATTTTAAAATCACGCCGGTTGTCAAGATTCATTTTCTTTTTTCGCTTCATTATCTAATCATTACCTCAGTGAATGTGTCTCTCATCAATATGTCTGTTTTCTGTTTGCCACCCCCTTTTCAGGAATATGCAATATGAAAAGCGAGTAGAAGTCGCCCTTCTCCACCACTCATTTATTGGCATCAGTGTGAGAAAGAAATGTGAACGCCAGTCCACAGTCGCCAGTTGCCACTTGCCATTGTCATTGCCGTTCTGAGCCATCTTGTGCACACACACACAACCCACAACTCAAACAAAGCTCACACGAACACATAGACGCAAGAGTGAACAGAAAGATAGCTCTTTTTGGCTGAAGCAGCAGCCGTACATCGGCTGAATCACCCTGCTGCCACTGCCGTTGATTGTACACAGCATCATCATCATCCGTCAGGCCAACTGCAGCGCGCTAATCGACGCCGACGCCGCCGCGGCTGCAAACATTGCAATCCTTCAGTTTACTCATTCGCATTTGCTTTTTTTCGATTGTGCAGGACATCTACATCGCNCAACCCACAACTCAAACAAAGCTCACACGAACACATAGACGCAAGAGTGAACAGAAAGATAGCTCTTTTTGGCTGAAGCAGCAGCCGTACATCGGCTGAATCACCCTGCTGCCACTGCCGTTGATTGTACACAGCATCATCATCATCCGTCAGGCCAACTGCAGCGCGCTAATCGACGCCGACGCCGCCGCGGCTGCAAACATTGCAATCCTTCAGTTTACTCATTCGCATTCGCCTTCTTTCGATTGTGCAGGACATCTACACAGTTTGGCGTGTGCAGATGAAACACAGCAACGGCCAATCAGCACATCACGTGCCTTTTACGCTCTTCCACGAAGAGGAGCTGTAAGCTGCAANCTGCCGCTGCAAACATTGCAATCCTTCAGTTTACTCATTCGCATTTGCTTTTTTTCGATTGTGCAGGACATCTACATCGCAGATGAAACACAGCAACAGCCAATCAGCACATCACGTGCCTTTTACGCTCTTCCACGAAGAGGAGCTGTAAGCTGCAAAAGATTGGCAAGCAAACGACGACGACGAACCTCTGCTGTACGACCGCACGAAAAGTTATCAATTACGAAGCGACAATTTTATTCTTCTTCTTCACCTGTTCACCTCTTCTTTCTATCTTCTTCACATCACTGGCAGTGGAGTAAACTGCTTCATCCTAGTCAAATAGCTTAATAACAACAACAGTTTAGCCGAAGTGTACAGGTTGCCGCCACTGCTGCCTTGCTATCCTTCGCCATTGAACCTTGTATTATCGAAACTATCGACAAAACTGTTTGTTTTCCACTGAAGAAGAAGCGCTATCTCCCACTGACTCATCGTAGTGCCGAGTACAGCACGCACTTTCCTTTCTTTCCTTGTTTTTTTGTATACTCCTCCTAATTTCCTCATTTGGACTCGAGCTTATCAACAAAGTGCCCAAGCAAACCAGCCCAGCCTCAGTAACTGAGAGTAAAGGAAGCACACACAGCCAAAGCTTTTTCTCTCTGATCGTCACCACAGCAACCTTGTCTTGTCTCTTTTGGTTCCTCACCTCGCTCTTATCGTCTCTTGCTTCTCTTAGCAGCAGCACAGCCACACCAAAGACGAGACTGTTCTCAAAGAATTGGCACCAATCGACACTAATTGCCCACTAAAACAGTCAAACAGTCTTACTACCACTTGGGCTTTGCTGTTTGTTCAGCACAGCTGCTGCTTTGTAGTGTGCTGTTGCTCTTGGTTGCCGGCGATTAGCCAAACACAGGAGAAGAAAAAATAACCTCCATCGACTACACAATACAACGCATTTTACCCTGTTGTTCTTCTCCTGTTTTGTTGCCATCAGCTCAACTCCGGCGAAAGAGGCTGGCACATCGCAGTTTCAGAGAGCTTTTTGTCACCTTTTGTTTGGTGAAGCTTCGAAGTGACACTACTTAAAAAACTACCTGTTAAATCTCCTCAAATACCCTCAAGTCAGTCAGTTACCCCCTCCCCCTTTTTCGAGTCAACACCACCTTGTTCTATCTCCCAACAATCTCTCTTCTCACCACGATGGCTCACGAGAAACGCATCTATCTCTTCGGCTTCCTGGGCACCAGTCTGGCCGTGCTCGGCGTGGCGGCCATCATCGCCATTCCCGGGCTGATCTCGCTGCTGGTGCACCAGCGCATGGCGCTCATTCCCAGCAATCCCTCCTACCCCCTCTGGCGCGACCTCGACCTGCCCATCTACCAGAAGTTCTACTTCTTCAACGTCACCAATCCGCGCGAGGTGGAGGTGGAGGGGGCGACGCCTAATCTGGTGGAGGTAGGCCCCTTCGTCTACCGCATCAACATCAGCAAGAGCTCTCTGAGCTTCCGCGACAACCAGACGAAACTGACGTTTAGGGAGACGAAGCGCTACTACTTTGATCGCAATCTTTCAGTATCCGATCTCGATGTTCAGGTGAGCCCATTTTTTCATAAAAGTTATTTTTCGTTTTGATAATCAACTTTTTCCCATTTCAGCTAACCACACTGAACGTTCCACTGGCGGTCGCCTACGACACCATCGACCTCGCCTCGCTGAACTTCTTCGTGCGGCAGGCGGTGAAGAAGCTGCTCGCCTCGCAGAGCTTCTTCATCACCGCCACCCCCGATGAGCTGCTCTTCAAGGGCAAGTTCAACCTCATCTCCTGCATCGGGCACATCATCGACCCGCGGAAGAACCCCGACTGCACCTTCGCCTACCTCGCCGGGCANCCCCCGATGAGCTGCTCTTCAAGGGCAAGTTCAACCTCATCTCCTGCATCGGGCACATCATCGACCCGCGGAAGAACCCCGACTGCACCTTCGCCTACCTCGCCGGGCAGAACAACAGCAACGATGGCCTCTGGGAGGTGAACACCGGCGTGGTCAATATCCGCGACGTCAACTCGGTCATCTCGCTGAACGGCTCCTCGCGGCTGGCCTTCTGGGACGGCGACCAGTGCAACCGCATCGACGGCACCTCCAACGGGGAGCTCTTCCCGCCGCTGGACACCGTCAACGGCTCGAGGAAGGCGCTGCAGTTCTTTCGCTCCGACTTCTGTCGCGTCTTCAATCTGACGCTGGACGAGGAGGGCATCGCCGGCGACGTCGGCTCGCTCGCCGTCGACCGCTTCCGCCCGGCGCCGATGCTCTT